CCACTCCCACCACGTGCTCCATCACGCCCACAGCCCTGCTCTGGACCCCCGCTTCAGCCCGCTTCTGTTTCCCGGTGTAAGAGCATCTTGCAGCCCAATGTCTTGCGCGGACGGAATCAAAACAGAGCTGGAACCGAGTAGCATCACAAGCTGGCCCGCTTCTTTCCATGGGTCAGTGGACATCTATCATGATACAGGTGAGACAAGACGAGGGAGCAGATCAGGAATACGTACACTTCTACAGCATGGGTGCATTTACAGTGTTATGGATTGTGTAAATTATCATGGTATAGTCATTTTTGTTGGAAATAACCATGTGATTATTGGATGATTCAGTGAATTAAATACTTTACAGTCAAAAGCTACTGCATCGCATAGAGTACCTTTCAAAAGTTTTGGGTCAGTAAGAGTAATATTAGTATTATGCTCAACAAAGGCTGCATTAATTTGATTAAAAATACAGTAAAAACTGTAATATTGTGAAATATTATTACAGTTTAAAATAACTGTTTTCTATTTTAATCTATTTTAAAATGTATTTATTTCTGTGATCAAAGCTGAATTTTCAGCATCATTACTCCAGTCTTCAGTGTCACACGATCCTTCAGAAATCATTCTGATATGCTGATTTCCTTCTCAACAAACATTTATTATTATTATTATTATCAATGTTAAAAACAGTTGTGCTGCTTCATATTTTTTTGTATAAACTGTGATATATTTTTTCAAGATTCTGTGATCGAAGTTTAAAGTTCAAAAGAACAACATTTATTTGAAATGAATTTTTTGTAACATTATAAATCTCCTTACTGTCAATTTTGATCAATTTAATGCATTTTTGCTGAATAAAAGTATTAATTTCTGACTGACCCCAAACTTTTGAACAGTAGAGTATATAACAAATAAATGATAAGTCTAGCATTAGTGCAAAAATAGCTTCACATTATGAGTTAAAAACTCAAAACACTAAAAAAACGAATAGTTGTGACTTATATTGCGTAATAATAATAATGCCCTTTAATAACTAATTCTTCATTGTCTTGACTAGTTTGCAACACATCACACTTATTTTCACATTATAATTTTTGTTGCTTTTACGTATAAATAATGTAAAACAGCCCTGCCATTGATAGCCACATTTATATATATATATATATATGAATGCACAAAATATCAATACCATGTCAGTTATCAGTCAGTATTAGAGATATTTTTATTTATTGGTCAGTGTTGAATTCAATGTTGGATACTTAACTGTACATCATTATTTTCTCTATTTTTACATTTAGATGACTTTTGCCATCATCAAATGCTCAGAAGTGCAATAAATAAAAAATAAAAAAATATATATATATACTTTTTTTACATATAATTTAATAACACTTTTAAATGTAATCTTCAGAATATTTTTATTTTTTAAAGATTTAATTGGTTTATTTTTAATTTATTCAAAATACCATGAAAATAAATATCAACCAGAATTTGAATACTGTTGCATTCCTACTAACATATCTTCTGCTGTTATAAATGACACATTCTAATGTTACATTGCTGAGTAAAGCAGACACGTTTTAATGATTTATCTGCTTACCCACAGCGCTTGAGCAAGGCAAAGCGAAGGCCAGTGTTTGGTTCTGAGACAGAGAAGATTCACTGGACTCCATGCCTGAGACTGGACCACTTCTGCAGCTGAGGCCCACAGCACTGCGTGTGGATTCCTTCCTCACAGGACTTTCATGGGAACTATTCAGGGGAACATCAGTCTCTATCAGCGAGACAAGCACAAAAACAGCTTTGGGGAAAACTAGTGTTTTTGTAAAGCATACCATCCTGTCTTGAGTTTGTGCCTTTAATATGTGCTCATGGACAGAGATCCACTTCAGGACGCTTCTGTAAAGGACGCCACAAACCCCAAATGAGGCTTAAGAGGTAGATCTCCCTCTTTCTCTACACAAAGGAGGTTTTCTCGACACGAACTGCGTTTATGTACTTACCACAGGTTCTGTTGAAAGAACTGATTGTATTAGTACAGCAGGCAGAAATGTGCGAATGTCTGAGAAAATCTTGATTTACTTTAATATATTTGTCTTGTGACTTTACTGATTGGTGTTTTCTGTTCGTAATACATGTTAATAGGTTATTTTTTATGTCAAATCGTCTAAGGAATAAGTCATTCGTTTTACTGCTATACATGAACTGCTAAGTTTTATTGGCAAACAATCTGTTTTGTTTGGATGGATTATTAAATCATTACAGTGATTACTGTCCCTTTAAATGTTGTCAGCGGAAGTGCTTCATAATTTCACATTTATTTTAAATCTGTTTACTTTTCCTCGTCAATGGGATGTAAGGCATTTGAGAGGTCAGTGGCACCAAAACACACCACTTATGCTGCTCTTGACCAATTTTGGGAGGGAAATACGGAGAACGCAAAGTCCCAGAAGGGATAGTGTCATTCCATTCACATTTAACTTCATCTCTCACAAAGCTGCAAAATCTGGGACGCGTCATAAATGCAGTTATATTGCAAAAATGTTTATGTGAATGCTCTTAAATGTCGGTATGCGCTTCCTATCTGGCCATCCAAGACAACTTGAACAATTGCCGTTTTAAAGGGGTCATATGATGCTTTTTTAAAGATCATTATTTGGTGTATTTGGTGTAACAGAATATGTTGACATGCTTTAATGTTCAAAAAACACATTATTTTTCAAATACT